AATGGCAGACACTGGTGATGGTACCTGTGTCTTTTGGCAATAACTGCTGCACCGATGAGTCCAGAGACACCCACTGCTACACCAAGTAGGCCTATCACCACTCCAACAATCATACCAGTAGAACCAGATGACTGGAGACTATCAGCAGATTCACAACTATCTGTATCATAGGAGCAATGGCAATATCATCATAGCAACTGAATATTGTAATACATTGGTGTGTCATTGTTGTCACAGGGTCAGAGTAGAGCCCAACATCTCCATTCTCATTCACAGCAGCTACTGATATGGAGTAGTTTGTGGAGGGAGTCAGTCCAGTCAGAGTTACTCGTCCTCCACTGTTCCAGTCTTCACCATCTCCCAGTGCATAGTCTTCAGTCATTGTATTGCATGCTGCGTACTGAACTCTGTACTTAGTGATTCGACCATTGACCAGTCTACAGTTGGAGAGGCCACTCCACTGGACAGAGATGTCAGTGGAGCTCTCAGCCTCTGCTCTCACATCCCCAGGAGCCTCTCTTGCACCTGTACATACACATACAGACATACACACAGACTGTGAGACCACAATCCTCAGTGGGTCTCACTTGTCTGTGGTGTTAGAACTCTCCTGGTCCCACTGGGTCGACTGGTACCTCGAACATCACTGACTGCCTCCACAGTCACCTCATATGTGGTGTAGGCTCTCAACTCATCAGTCACTGTTGACCCCACATCTCCTCCTACAGCAATACTGACAGTAGTGGAGGGAGCACTGACTGTCAGAGTGGCAGTATGAGAGTCAGTAGGACATAGTCCCTGCTGATTGGTTCCCTGAGCCATGGAGAATGTGACAGTATATCTGTTAGCATAATCCACTGCCTCCCAGGACACAGTGACCGAGGATGATTCTGCAGCAGTCACCACATCTTCAGGAGTGTCAGGAGCTGTGTTAGAGAGAGAGGAAGGGAATGGTAAGAGTAAACTGCAGTTGTAACCACTCACCCAGTGTAATAGTCATCTCCTCAGATACTCCAGGTAGCATGTTACTGGCAATAGCCTCAATTGAAAAGGTGTATGTCTCTCCGTGAGTGAGATCATTGATTGGAGTACTGGTGGAGCCTTGACTAACAGTTTTAGTCCCATCATCGCCATTACCACTGGCAAGACGGTAGCGTACTGTGTATCCAATCACAGTGGCTTCTGGTGGTGGAGTCCACGTCACCATGACAGTGGTAAGAGCAGTCTGCATTAGTCCAGTGATGGTTGAAACAGCAGCTGTAGCATAATGTAAGACAATCTACAGACTCAGTCCACACTGCATGACGAGTGTTTACCTCTCAAAGTCACACTGCTAAATGTTTGATGCAAAATTAGTGACATTGCACTGGAATACATCTCCAACCATGCCACTGGATATGACATCTGTCCTGGCAGTGTACCTGTCATTACTCAGAAACAGTGGAGTACCAATTGCCTGTATGTTGGTACTGATGTCAGAGTTGTATCCATTAGGTCCAGAGACGGCCATGTTGAGAGCTCTACCACCAGTGGAGGTACACCTCACTCTGAATGTCAATGTTCCTGCCTCCACCTCAATAGCTGCAGTTACCTCAGTGACTGGAGGAGGGGAATCATACAAGAATATCTCTCATTATATCATCACGAGAGATGGCTACTCACTGGGGTAGAGGACATACAGTCCTAATACAGGGTTAATGTCATTACCAATATGACAGTTGATATATCCTTCCTCTGGAGTTTCCCTCCTTCTCCACAAGTAGTGTACTTTATGATCACCTTCATTAGCTCTCAATCCACTCCATCCTCGAGTTATAGGAGCACTACTACCAAACCTTATGTACTCTGGTTCTGGATAAGCACAAGGGACTGGAGTATCTCCATCACCAACATGACATCCATAGTACCACCGACTTCAGAGACAGACAGTTCAGACTGACACCTCATAGCTCTGTCGAAATCATTTGAACTCTCCAACTCAAAGTCATACACACTGATCCTCGTCATGTTGTCATTAGAAACGGATATACTGTCTGACCATTATTCACAGTTATAGTCAGTCCTGTGGAGAGATGACAGAAAACGAACAACGAAATTCAGCCGCTGACAGGCAACACTAATATTTTTAGGTGATGGAGGAAGAATCACAGTAGAGAAAAACAAACTAGCGAATTCTTCCCGCCGATCCAGAGTCACAGACCTTACCTTCCACTGTCAGTGTCATCCAACTACACAGACACAGCAGAGCAGCTAGCAGGTGCCGTGGCCGGGAGCAGCTTACCACTAGCATTTTCCACAGCTTGAGGACCTCGCACTGTTAGACAGGGTGAGGCGTGAGCGCGAGTTTTACTACTCACAGCAGTGCCTCGTCGCATACATTCAGAGCAGAAGGCCTCATTGTGTTTCCTCCAGCACGACTATTATTGGGACCACGGTTATGAAAAATATTCGTTGTCCTTGGTGTTGTTGTTGTTGATTTGATTTCATTCATGATTTGGTCCTGAAAGGCAAACATGCGGTGGGCTTATAGCTACACACCACAATGCCAACCCAGAATAAGCAAAAACATGTCAGAGAAACAAAACATACGTCACAAAGTGCATTAGGATGCACTATTTTGAACCAGTGATGAGCAGTGATATTATAGTCCCTGCTGGTTTAGTCTATGACACATTTTCCGCAGCTTGCGCTGTTAGCAAACTAGATGGCATGCAGTCACACAATACTTGCACTTTTTATAAAAGGCCCACAGAATGCATGTCACAACATGGACTCAAAACATACATTATTTAAGTAGCTGTATGTAGGGGTTATGTCAATAGACACCCTCATAAATCCCCTCAGCCCCAGATGGTGGCTAGGTGTACTTAGGAATCTCGTACTCTCCTTCAGTCTCTGCTGGTTTCCCATGAGGACCACTCATACCATACGCTGGGTTGGCCCCTGTTGCCATGTCTCCCTTGACCTCAGCTGGTCTGTAACATAGTGTAGAGAGCATGGCTGAATGGCAGACACTGGTGATGGTACCTGTGTCTTTTGGCAATAACTGCTCCACCGATGAGTCCAGAGACACCCACTGCTACACCAAGTAGGCCTATCACCACTCCAACAATCATACCAGTTGAACCACATGATTGGAGACTATCAGCAGATTCACAACTACCTGTACATAGGGCACAACATTTAGCACTGAGCATATTAGTAGTACATTGGGTGTCATTGTTGTCACAGGGTCAGAGTAGAGCCCAACATCTCCATTCTCATTCACAGCAGCTACTGATATGGAGTAGTTTGTGGAGGGAGTCAGTCCGGTCAGAGTAACTCGGCCTCCACTCCTCCAGTCTTCACCATCTCCCAATGTATAGTCTTCAGTCATTGCTGTGTACTGAACTCTGTACTAGTGATTCGACCATTGACCAGTCTACAGTTGGAGAGGCCACTCCACTGGACAGAGATGTCAGTGGAGCTCTCAGCCTCTGCTCTCACATCCCCAGGAGCCTCTCTTGCACCTGTACATACACATACAGACATACACACAGACTGTGAGACCACAATCCTCAGTGGGTCTCACTTGTCTGTGGTGTTAGAACTCTCCTGGTCCCACTGGGTCGACTGGTACCTCGAACATCACTGACTGCCTCCACAGTCACCTCATATGTGGTGTAGGCTCTCAACTCATCAGTCACTGTTGACCCCACATCTCCTCCTACAGCAATACTGACAGTAGTGGAGGGAACACTGCACTGTCAGAGTGGCAGTATGAGAGTCAGTAAAACATAGTCCCTCCTGATTGGTTCCCTGAGCCATGGAGAATGTGACAGTATATCTGTCAGCATCTCCCACTGCCCCCCAGGACACAGTGACTGAGGATGATTCTGCAGCAGTCAATACACCTTCAGGAGTGTCAGGAGCTGTGTTAGAGAGAGAGGAAGGGAATGGTAAGAGTAAACTGCAGTTGTAACCACTCACCCAGTGTAATAGTCATTTCCTCAGATACTCCAGGTAGCCTGTTGCTGCTGGTGATAACCTCTACTGAGAAGGTGTATGTCTCTCCATTAGTGAGACCAGAGATGACTCTAGTTGTAGAGCTCATAATATCAGTCATAGTCACACTTCCACCAGAAGAGAGTAGCGGACTCTGTGGCCAGTTATTGAGGTTTCAGATGGTGAACTCCAGGCCACTCTGACGGCAGTGAGAGCTGTTTGAACCAGTGAATCGAGGGTTGGAGCTGTAGCAACTGTAGAGAAACAGGCAGCAGTAATAAAAACAGATACTGTTGGGGTCCATTACCTTCCACAGTTACAACGTCAGTCATTGAGTCAACACTAGTGACATTGCACTGGAATTCATCTCCAACCATGCCACTGGATATGACATCTGTCCTGGCAGTGTACCTGTCATTTCTCAGAAACAGTGGAGTACCAATTGGCTCTATGTTGGTACTGATGTCAGAGTTGTATCCATTAGGTCCAGAGACCGCCATGTTGAGAGCTCTACCACCAGTGGAGGTACACCTCACTCTGAATGTCGATGTTCCTGTCTCCACCTCAATAGCCGCAGTTACCCCAGTGACTGGAGGAGAGGAATCATACAAGAATATCTCTCATTATTATCATCATGAGAGATGGCTACTCACTGGAGTAGAGGACGTACAGTCCTAATACAGGGTTAGTGTCATCAATCATATGGCAGTTGATATATCCTTCCTCTGGAGTTTCCCTCCTTCTCCACAAGTAGTGTACTCTATAACCATCTTCATTAGCTCTCCTTCCACTCCATCCTCGAGTTATAAAACCACTACCACTAGTAAACGCTACGTACTCTGGGTCTGGAAAAGCACAAGGGACTGGAGTATCTCCATCACCTACATGACATCCATAAGTACCACCATCTCCATCAGACATGAGTTCAGACTGACACCTCATAGCTTTGTCAAACTCACTATTTGAATTCACAAACTCAAAGTCATACACACTGATCCTCATCATGTTATCATTAGAAACGGATATTTGACCATTATTCACAGTTATAGTCAGTCCTGTGGAGAGATGACAGAAACGAACAACGAAATTCAGCCGCTGACAGGCAACACTAATATTTTTAGGTGATGGAGGAAGAATCACAGCAGAGAAAAACAAACTAGCGAATTCTTCCCGCCGATCCAGAGTCACAGACCTTACCTTCCACTGTCAGTGTCATCCAACTACACAGACACAGCAGAGCAGCTAGCAGGTCCCGTGGCCGGGAGAAGCTTACCACTAGCATTTTCCACACAGCTAGAGGACCTCGGGTCGGGCGCGACGCGGGCCAAGCGAGCGCGAGGTGCGTAGGCATCCCTGAAATACGGTGGCTTACATACCAACCCAGAATAAGCAAAAACATGTCAGAGAAACCAAACACGCATCACAAAGTGCATGAGGATGCAGTATTATTGGCGAGCGGAGCGAGCCAACCTAGTCTTTCGTTCGAGCGGAATTATATATGCGTTCGTACGTCGTGTAAGTGCGCATGCGCGGCTTTGTACGCGTTTCTTTTTATCCGAAATTATTTCCAGATTTTTACACATTTTCACACACTTTGCCTTTGCCTATCGATCTAGCCGGCGAGTGAACTCTCCTCCATTCGACGGCATGCGCTGCAATCTTCGGTGACTGACCGAGGCTGTACCTCTTCCCAATCTTCATGGTTCCAAGGTGCAACTTGCGAATACGCTAGGATTGCTCGTGCACATACTGCTGCATGCCAGTTGCCTGGTGGACCACGACTGACGAGCTGAAAGCGTAAGGTAAGTACCGTTCTGCTCACCTGCTCACCGTTCTGGCAATATACAGTACGCATGTAACGGCGGCAGGTAGATCTGTCTTGCTTCACGAAAGGAAAGCTGTGCGCTGACGGCACGCTATGCAGCCCGAACATTGCGGTCAAATCCCAAGTTAGGTCGCTCCCGCTCGCCAACAATGTTCAACATTTCCACTAGTATTTGCACCAAGGGTTCCAGACAGCTAAGCAGGGATATAGTCTCATTAACCCTCGCCTGTGCGCATGCGCAGCGAGGGTTATTGCAGTCGGTCGGTCGGTCTGCTGTGTCCGTCCGTCCGTCCGCCCGTCTGTCCTCCGTTTTTCACGGTAACCGCGGCAACTCTGAGCGTGAAACGTGGACATATTTTCAACTAGGAGGAATGCATGGTAAAATAAGATTCTGGAGCGGAGAAGCCCGGGGGAAGCTGGTGAAACGGACGGCTGCCGAGGTGGGTGTGCGTCAAATAGAGATCGCGAACCATCGTTGTATATGCTAGATGCTTTGCGTGTGTGGAGAAGATTTGCTGGTCTGGCTGTATTGATGGTACAGTTGAGTAGGATCGAGATTGCCGGTGAAGTGAGAGCAGCACACGCCCCAGTGAATCCGTTTCAGTGAATGAGCCACGAGGTATAGTATGTAGCTGAATAGTGGTGAGGGTTGTCAAGACCAGTGCTTTTCACTTTGCTGTAGTAGTAATTAGTATTGAACTCGCATGTGCAAAAACTGACGTAGTAGCCATTGGCTGAATAAAGAATAAAGTGGCGAGGGTTATGCACTTTCAAGTGCTTTTCATTTAGTCCCTGCTGGTTGTTCTATGACAAATTTTCTGCAGCTTGTGCTGTTAGCAAACTATGGCATGGAGTCACACTATATATTTAAAAAAATATCAAACTCTGTACACTTTATTAACGAAACATTATACTTGTGAGTCCCATTGTCTTCAAGTCAGCAGAAACCTGCAGTAAAAACAGAGTTTCATGGCCAATAATTGATGGTTATCCTCGTGTGAGGACCTGAAACGAGGCTCCAGTGGCAGCTCTGACATCGTCTAGACTCACTCCCTCCCCAATCTCCACCAGCCTCAGACCATTCTCCCTACACACCTCAAACACTGCCTGTGGCAGACGATAAGACTAACGTCTTTTCGTGCTCACCTGGACCCCGGAAGTCGTTGTGTATATATGGTTAGACTCAGAAGAGCGCGAGGATTCCATTGCTCCATGATGATGAATTTAGCCTGCACATGTGACTGGAGATGAGCATTCTCTGTCACCGGGTCTCGGAGAACACGCTCCAAATTCTGGTAGAATCACAAGAGTTTTTGTCAACACATCAACTCATACCTAATGAGTGTACAATCCCACACCTGGTTCCTGGGCTGGGTCTGAAGAGCTTGTACCAGCTCACGTTTGTTCCTCTCACTCCCTTCATCTCTAACACCAGCTCTCGCCTCCTCCAACATACGTCACAAAGTGCATTAGGAATGATGAGCAGCGATATATAATATAGTCCCTGCGTCTCCTTTAGTCCTTGTTCTAACGACACATTTTCCGCAGCTTGTGCTGTTAGCAAACTAGGCATGGAGTCACAATATTATTTGCACTTTATAAACATGTTAAATTATATTAACGAAACATTGTACTTGTCCATTGTCTTCAAGCAGCAGAAACCTGCAGTACAAAACAGAGTTTCATGGCCAATTATTGAGGGTTATCCTCGTGTGAGAACCTGAAACGAGGCTCCAGTGGCAGCTCTGACATCGTCCAGACTCACTCCCTCCCCAATCTCCACCAGCCTCAGACCATTCTCCCTACACACCTCAAAACACGGCCTGTGGAAGACAATAAGACTAATGCACTATCTCCTACAATCTCCTACACAGTATGTACATGAGGTGATGAATTTCATAACGTATTTTTCCAAGGATTTAGATCAATTTGCATCCTTCAAAAACAAGTAGT